TCCAGCGTTGAGTGTGGGGCTTCTGGAATCGCCAGTTACGATGGATGATCTTGTTCGTCATGATAAGCTCAGACAGCCGCTCACCCTGCTCGTTCCATTATAACCCGTGGGTCCCAATGTGACGTTCTACAGACGTTCTTTTTGGTTCAATCTTAGCGTTAAAATCTCCAGTGATGACCTTGAGGAACGTATGGTCTTCTCTGTAGAACTTCACCTAGTCCGTATAGAATGCTTCAACTTCCTTTTCTTTATGGTGCGATATCGGCGCGTAAACGGCAATGATTCTCCACGCCCCTATGGATCCGCATTTCTTCAACCGCAAACGTCCGACTCGCATTCTTAGGATACATTCGAATGAATCGATGTTCACAGCCAAACTTTTGTTGAGGAGTACGCCCACACCGCCAACTACTCCACTATCGCATGTTCCGAGGAGCAGTTGTTCTCAGGTGTCATAGACGGCGTTGAATGGGTGGCTTCGCCTCGTCTCGGCAAGTCTGATGGCGTCGTACTTTATCCTTCTTGGTTGCATGATCAAGTCTTCTATAGTCTGGGCGTACATTACAGGTACAGATTGTCACCCCAGTTCTTTGCGATTTAGGCAGCTTGAAATGGCCCTAAAATTTTAGCAGCCTCACCGTACTCGTTCTACCCTACGCTACCGAATCGTTTGCTCTTCCGGGTTTATGAGAATGAGGCCTGTTTATTTTACTGTGTTTAGCTTTCTCATACCCACATATAGCTTGCTGAACTCTGAACGTTGGGGCAGCGTATACTGACGAGTAGCTTGCCAGTCCTCTCCAGAGTAAACGAGCAGCTTATCTGTTTGAGGCGACTCCTAACCGCTTCCCATATAACTCGAAAGACCGACTTTCTATAAACCTCGGCACAGATAGTTGATATATTTATTTATGTGATCTTATAAACTGATCTTCTTAAGCTGACGCGAGGTTGGTACTGATCTTCGTTGTCGTTGTCGTTGTTTTTGATGTTATTGATCGATGGCTGACGTTTCGGCGACTTCGCCTTCCTCAGAGCCTGGACGTACTTTATGTTAGAATACTTTTTATTATTCGGTGGAAAAGAAAGAAGAAAACCGAATAATAAAAAGTATTCTAACATAAAGTACGTCCAGGCTCTGAGGTGGGCGAAGTCGCCGAAACGTCAGCCATCGATCAATAACATCAAAAACAACGACAGCGACAACGAAGATCTGTACCAACCTCGCGTCAGCTTAAGAAGATCAGTTTATAAGATCACATAAATAAATATATCAGCTTCCCATATATTTCTCTCTTACTTGATTGTAAGCTTTTGCCGAATTGATTCATAGAATACAATCCGCATAAACGAGAACACAAACGCAGACGTAAGCATAGATACGCCTCGTAAACACAGGAAGTATGTGGCAAATCGGCGCAGCAGAAACATGGAGTCGATCCCTTGGATCCGTCTACATCTCGGGAGGCAGAGGTCGCGTTTGGTCCACGATTAACCCCCTGTCCGCCACCTGGGGTCGGGCCACGTAGCCTCGCTACTAAGCGGCTCGTGATCCCTCGTATGTGGGAGATCCATAGCATTCAAGGAATTCTCTTTTATACGATCTTTTATACGATAAGTCTTCAAAATGAAGCATTGCAGCAAGGCAAAAATATGATTTGTATATCGATATTAGAAGAACCACTAGATTCTACACATTTTTGCCAAGAAGGATCGAAAAATTTATAGCAGTTGCTTAAAAGTGAAGTTCTGTTGGCCGTGAAGCCGTTGGAAGGAGTTTTGGCTTCGTTTAAGCTTCTGATGTATTTTTTATAGAATAAGTTACCGAGATGCTTGAAGAGGTAGTACTAGGTAGGCCAGAGGTCTTATGTCTATAGTGGATGAAGCAGAGTTTCATAGCACATTCGTTCAACTTCTGCAGCGTGGGTTGTATGATGCCTCGCCGCGTCTTATCATGCAGGATTGCTTCCTTTCTGTTGGCCGATACTGGGCACAGCCGTTGAAACTTCTCGTGCATTTCGTCCATTTTCTGGATGTATTTCTCCGCCTTAATCGGCTCATTCGCACTCAGAAGGCCGAATGAAGCCAACTACTTCTGGACCACCAAACGGTAAGCATGACTTTCTTTTGGTACAGTTTCACCTTTGGGAATGCTATTGAACTTCATCGAGGTCCAACAACTGGCCCGATCATCGCTGCTTAACATAGGGGATCCATTTCTCCCCACATCTCACAATACGGGCGTGTGTGGCGCAGTGCTCGGAGGCGTCCTGTGGGATCGAGCCCCGAGCCCATGGCTCGCCAAGCTTTCCATCTCTCCAGGGTCGGCAGTTTGGTACCACACTTGTCTGCGAGGATAGCAGCACTAGCTCGATATATCGGTAGCTCACCGCGGGTCATTGTAAAGGCCAGATATGCATTCAATCACCTACAAACGATGCTTAGTGAAGTCGACTTTTATTCTTTACGTTACAATACAATCAAGAAACGCATCGTCCTCGATGCGCATAAGAAGCGCTGACAATATCTCAAAACGGTGACCTTTTTGATAACCATTCAATTCGTGCCGGATTCATTTATCGAGCTTCTTTAAAGTTCCGATGTTCTTTAGATCTTATAGAACAGAAAAGATGCTCACAGCGAGTTCTTCTGCAAGACCTTGCAAAGATACGCGTGTATTTGTTTTCAATAAAGCTTTCAAATCATCGTTGTCAATAGCAGAACAACGTTGGCAACTTCTCTCGTTTTCATGGTCAAATTCACTACGAAACTTCCGAAGAAAACGTTGAATTGTGTGGTAGTTAGCAGTTCCTTAGGGCCATACCCCTTAATGTTTCGAGCTCTTCTACTGTACTACATCCGAGTTTGAATTCGTAGATTAGTCGAGATTGCTGTTTTAACATCTGAAATTTTAGCTATTAAAATTTGTGAAAAACACAATTCATACTGCAGTTCAGTTATATGGAAGAGCAAGTGTAGTGCAGTAGTTAGAGGTACCATACGAATAGACATTGGTTCGATCGCGCCCCCCAGGCCCACTAAGCCTTCCATCCTTCCGGTGCTGGGAAATTGGTACCAGACTTGTTTGGAAGGATAGCAGCACTAATTCAATACATCGACAGGCAAGAGCAAGTCATTGTAAAGGCCAGATATGCATTCAATCACCTCCAACGATGCTTAATGAAGTCGAATACTTGGCACATCCCTCAGAGACTGATCAACTCCGAGAACCTTTCTTTTATTAGCTTTATTAATCATTCGGAGAAAAATACATAAAACTATCTTTTCATTGACATATAGTAGTGTAGAATCTCAATGCGAACTGCTGCTAAAACGTATACAAGAATGAAGTCGGTCATGAATTCTCGAGCAACCTAATACGTTAGCTATCGAAAACTACAGAAGAACCTGAGTAAACAGGACATCAACGCCGTCCTAACGGCAATTTTGAAATACACAGATCAGTTAAGCAATCGCAGGAATCTCTGCCGTCCAGGAATGATCTTAGCCTCGAATTAGGTAACTTCCCGTGGTGTTGCCTTGATACGCTCCAACACGAATAATTAGCGATTTCAGGGAAAATGGTGTCCAGCCAAAACCAAACATGTAAACGCGAAGAAAACAACAACCAAACTCAGGAAACGAGTAAACTGGAATGCATAAGTAGATGAGCCAAAGTCACAGCCAACAGACAGCTTTGTTTTGACAAGAGCTTGCCTGTACGACAGTACAGCCTTTGGCAAAACTCTTCCCGTAGAAGAATAAACTGTTCATGGAAATGTGAGTCAAATTAAAGAAGAGCATATTATCATCAGGAACAAGGCATTCCCTGGTTTTGACAAGATAGTATATAACGCTGCAATACTTGCTAATCAATCTATATTACTTAATTATCGATAAGTGCATGCATAAACCTGGCACGATTGTGCATGCACTTACCGGTAGTTAAGTAATAGATTGATTAACAATTAAGTATGCATTTGTGGCTAGTCATAAGGTAACATGTTATCTCAGCCATAGCCACTTACACCGCAACTGGACTTGGACAGTTCAACGACTGTTGTTCCTCCAGACAGACGTACACCAGACAGACGAACAACAATGCTTAAAGTCGATGGCGATATGGATGCTCCAAAGCGTTGTTAAGTATGCAGGCACGAAACTATCCTCTACGTCATTCACAGTTATACCAGTATCCCACATATCTTACCTAGATGCAGGACTTTGTTCACAATGGTGCCAACCAAATGCTGTGAATCTCTCACAATTTAGTCGTCTGAAGTCACACCAGAGTATTCTGATGACCATTAATTTCTCGTTCGTTGATTTCCACGACTACACTTTGATAAATGCACCGTAAGGTTAAATGTATCTAGAACAGCTCCAAAAGATAAAGGTCTAAAAGCTTTCGGCGTTGATTAGTCCTTGACGGATGCACCATGCATTCGACTTCGTTAAGCATCGTTTGGAGAAGATTGAATGCATACCTGGCCTTTACAATAACTTGTGATGGCCTACCGATGTATCGATCCAGTGCTGCTATCCTCCCAGGGAAGTCTGATACCAACTTCCCGACACCGGAGGGATGAAAGGCTTGACGAGCCACGGGTGCGATAATCGATCCCATGTGTATTGTAGGAGGCCTACGACCAGCGCGCTGCACGCGCTCTTTATACCCTACACGGTCCAGAAGTTTATGGATACTCAAACCTATTGATTTATAACGCAGCAAAGCTCTTTATGTGAGTGAATTCCGTTGCACGGCTAAATTTGTTAGGAGACAGGCATGCTTCAATAGGCCTTTACCAATGGCTGCAAGCCTTTTCAACTAGAAAAATTAGAACGCCTCTTCACGTCTGTGTAAAAGAGATGGATAAGTTATGTTCATTACAAGAACACGTTACAATAGCTTCAAATGAAAACGACTAACAACAAGAGTGAACAAAGTAATATCAACATCTAAATAACGAGATTACATCCGTGTGACAAATTATGTGCACCTAGTGGAAAACACCAAGCAGATCTTGCTCCCGGAAGATAGAGTACTCTACTTCATCCACAACTACCTAGAAGTGGAAAGAATGGAAGGGGTTATTAAAAGGAGAGTCACTTTTACATAGAAACTGCGCGGCGTACCTTAGTGCCACCATATTCGGGAAGAAGCACGCGGTCTCCGGTCTTAACAGACATAGGGATGACGTCTCCCTTTTCATTTCGAGCACCTGGCCCAACTGCGAGGACAGTGGCCTCAAGCACCTGTAGATTCTAACTGACATGCGAAAACTTTTCCAAACGTTACAGGTAGAGGAACTCGCCTTTCCTTGCGATTTCTCAGGCAACATAATGCCGCCTTTCGTTTTTGTCTCTGCTGCTGCGCGTTCAACCAGCACACGATCATGGAGAGGTTTGAACGATTTCAGAATATCTCCAGTCTAAAACGACAAGAAACACTAACGACTCTAGGCCCGAACAACAACCAGCGTACAAGAAGTGGCTTATCTCTACGTGTCAGTCGTCAAGGTCTCTTTTCTAGCCTCTTAAATAACAACGTAGTACAAATAGTAATAAAATAACTTCGAAACCGACCAGAGCCCGACGAACAGCTGTAAGGAACATGTCGACACCAAGTAAGTACACGAACCAGTGCCCTGGCAGAAATGGCCTCGGAACCGCGGCCGTTCAGCAGCGCAGTGTGGGCGGAGCCAACGAATAGGAAAGCGGTTCGCGAAATTTCGTCTATCAGCCTTGGCGCGTTCGCTTCGACCTGCCTGTGGCACTCATCTACATTCGCACCTCGGCACGCAGCGCTGGACATCGGGGAAGGGTTTCATTGTGTCCGAGCTGCAGCTGCAAGAGAACGGTGTGGAGCCGACGATTCTACTGCGCTCTGGCGGGTTGCTCTGGGCGGAGCCAACCAATCAGAGAACGTTTCTCGAAACTTCTTTCTTCACTTCAGCGCGGTTGTCTTTATTTCGCTGCTGTACCCATTTGTTGTTCCCTGCGTATCCGAGTCCGTTGTTCTGGTAGAAGTAGGTTTCCCCGAAACCCTCTAGCACCTCCTTAGCGGGGTGGGGAAATTTCGCGCTCCTTTTGAGATTGCGCAAACCCTGGCTCTGCGGCCGAGTTTTTCGCTTGAGTACTTCGTTTATTATATATGCTAACCTTATTCTAGTTACTCACCATTAGCTGGTATTGTTTGAAGTAGGCGCTCCTCAGTTGCTTTCGTTGTTCCTAAATATTTCCATCTTGAACAGGACATGTATGCACATAGATTCTGGTAAACGCCATTCCAATTCTGCTTCTTCGTGTCGCTTTTACTTATCCTTTCTAGTTCGCATTGCAGTAAATGTTTCTTTTGAGTGCAGATATGTTGCGCCTGGGCAATTCCCACATTGCGCGTACCGTGGTCCGTAGTTACGCCAAGGATGTCAAGTTTGGAGCGGAAGGCAGGAAAGCTATGCTTGTCGGTGTTGATCTGCTGGCCGACGCAGTCTCAGTAACAATGGGTCCTAAGGTATTCGTTTTCACTTACATCAATCCATCATGTGCTCTGACAAATTTCTATGAATAGAATTGTTTAGGGTAGAAACGTGATCATTGAACAGTCTTGGGGAAGCCCTAAAATCACTAAGGATGGAGTCACAGTTGCAAAAGCAATCGACCTGAAAGACAAGTACCACAATATGGGAGCCAAGCTCATCCAGGTCAAGTATTTTTTTCCCTAGTGTATTTAATTTGGGTTTATATCGTGTCACCGGCACTCTTGGTATTTAACAAGTGAACTCAGCGGTTAGCGGTGGTCTTCAGTCGCCCTCGTTCGCTTCAGATCTTTCTGTTGGGTCTGATGGCAAAAAAAAGTTGCATGAGAGCATTTTCAAAGACGTTTTTATACCAGAGTGTTTACTTTCATTGTTTAGTGAGAAGATGCATCCAAGTAGCTTGATAGTGAGCTCTGCCTGGATATGATAAGAAGTGACTTGTCATGTGACGGCCTAACTTGTCATGTTTGGCTCGACAATATCTCCACTGCATCCCCAACTAATTTATAATACGGTCCTCATGAGTGCAACCACATCCGCGCATATGTGTATGCATATCAATGCGTATAGATATGTATTTGGCAAAACAAAGGAAAAGAGTCCATTTTTCAAGTTCACGTATGTACCTGGACAGGTTTATAGGGCAGCAAATTGATTCTCATTCTGTTGAGCCTCTATCCGTCGTTCAAGTACGCAGCACATGGTCTTCCGCTAAAACCGCTTTTGAAGGAAAATCTTTTCGTTTATACTGCAAGGTTGAAGTATATTACAATGAAGGATATTGACAATAGTGCGTGTTAAAACATGTCACCGGAGTGCATAGGAGCGAGTATGTGGAGTATGCTGCGGTTTGAAAGAAACCCGCAGTCTTGCCATGAAGGGTGAATTCGTCTTTGTCTTCGTTAATTTCACAGTTTCTCATGGGAGTTGTATGTTTAGAAGCTAAGCAAAAATGAAAATATTCAAATGTCTGTTGAGTTGTTTTTCTAAGTCACAATTTCGCTGCGAAGACTGCATTCTTTCGTCTGATTATTTCACTTTGTTCTGGTTTCGCTTATTTCTTTGAGTTCATCTTGAGAAAAGAAGTTTTTAAACAACGCTATTTCTCTGTGAAGTCCATTGCTTCCATCGTTTAGAAAAAAGGCAGGAGAGTAATGAACATTGTAATGTTAGTAATAGAGGAACTGATGGTGTCAAGAACTTTTGAGCAGTGTTCAGTCTAATTTAACCAACACAGTTGTCTCCAAAGATGCTGAGATATGAGCAGAGCTCTAAGTCTCAGGTGAACTTTGAACCTGCTAGTTCCCGCCGATGTGGAGGACAGACGGGCAGTATGTATGCACTCGATGACGATAATCGAGGATTTGAAGCCCATCTGAGGTTCTAAGTTCTCTTATCTCCGGATTCTTGTGGTTCTATTTCAGATAGCACCTTGCCATTAAAAAAAGAATAGACAGTAAATAAAAACTAAGACAATTAACGTTATTTAAAACAGGTCGTTGGTGATCTTAAAGGGCCGTAACCGACAACCAGCATTCTTTGTGCCTCATGCAGTGACTTTATAGGATGTTGCAAACAAAGCAAACGAAGAAGCCGGGGATGGTACTACTTGTGCCACCATACTGGCTCGTTCTATAACCAAAGAGGGTTTCGAAAATATCAGCAAAGGCGCTAATGCTGTCGAGATTCGAAGAGGAGTTATGGCTGCAGTGGACCTTATTGTTAAAGATCTAAAAGCTCAAAGCAAACAGGTTTGTTCGTCGGGAAGCTGCTTTTCCGTCTACATCCTGACTGTTTGATATTCTGAAACTTTCCAAGTACTTGTAGTTTCCAGGTCACAACACCCGACGAGATTGCCCAAGTTGCAACTATTTCAGCAAATGGAGACAAGGCCATTGGGAATCTCATTTCAGAAGCTATGAAGAAAGTGAGTGATCACTCAAATTTTCAAGTCTCGAATATTTCTGCGCAAGTATGTATGTATATACACATGTATGTATATGTACGCGTGTATACACATGTGTGCATATATATATATATATACACATGTGCACATGCATGTAAATAAGTGCATGTGCATACAGGTGCATATATATATATATATATGTATATGTATTTTTACGTGATATGTATATTCAGGTAGGAAAAAAAGGTGTCATAACCGTGAAGGATGGGAAGACATTGAATGATGAATTAGAGTTGATTGAAGGCATGAAATTCGATCGAGGATATATTTCCCCCTACTTCATCAATACCTCAAAGGGAGCAAAGGTAAATATGCTGCTGCTGGTGTGGCTATTCCGAACCATTCTCATGAATATATTCCCAGGTTGAATATGAGAAGGCCTTGGTTCTCTTGAGTGAAAAGAAAATTAGCAATGTCCAAGATATTGTTCCTGCACTTGAGTTGGCTAACAAAGTTCGAAAACCTCTCGTTGTCATTGCTGAAGATGTTGACGGCGAAGCACTTACGACACTTGTTCTCAATCGGTTAAAAGTGCGTTTCCTATGCGATTATATTGCTGTTGTGACATGTTTGTATTAACAGAATATTTAGGTCGGCCTGCAAGTAGTGGCTGTTAAAGCGCCAGGATTCGGCGATAATAGGAAGAATACGCTAAGAGATATGGCTATTGCTACGGGTAGTACTGTATTCGGAGATGACTCAAATCTAGTTAAGCTTGAAGACATTCAACTAAGCGACTTTGGGGAGGTCCGAGTGTTTTCCTGTGCTCAAATTGAAGTTAATGTGAGTATACAGGATGGGAGTGAAGCGTTTTCCAGGTTGAAGAGGTCACTATTACAAAGGAAGACACTTTGTTGCTACGTGGTAAAGGTGAGGCCGCTGAAATCGAAAAGCGAATTGAGCAAATCGCTGATGAAATTGAACAGTCAACCAGCGAATATGAAAAGGTACCTTTTTTTTAGAAGACTGTTTGAGAAACACAGTAATTGTAAAATTTTCAGGAGAAATTAAACGAACGCCTGGCCAAACTCTCAAAAGGTGTTGCTGTTTTGAAGATTGGGGGTGCGTCTGAGGTTGAAGTTAACGAGAAAAAGGATCGCGTTACGGATGCTCTTTGTGCAACGCGCGCTGCGGTCGAAGAAGGAATTGTACCTGGTGGTGGAGTGGCTCTTCTCCGATCACTCAAATGTCTTGAAACATTTAAGGTATTCTAACCCATTCCTAAATTGTTCACAAAGAAATGTGCATCATATTCGTTGGGTTGGAATTACCTTTACTTACTTTGAGCCCATGGAAACACAATGAGGGATTATCTTTGAACTGTGCTTGAAATGGTATGGAAACTGTTGTTTGACTCCAATTTTTTCCCTTGTGTTAACAAAGTTCCACTCCATGTAGTGCCGCTTTTCTTTTCGAAATATCTACAACTCATAAACTTATTCTGAGATTTTTTGACCGTTTAAAACTCATTGAACTTTCTACTATTTTCAGATAAGGTTTGCATAAGTGACACCTGATCGAAGCACACCGTATGTTCCTATATATGTATAATGTGTATGTATATGCACATGTGCATGTACACATATATATGTACATACGCATACATATGTACACGTACTTATATACATATGTACATATATACATATTGCATATGTACATACGTACATGTATATATACGTATATATACATGTACATCTATATACATGGCCGCCAGTAGTTTCCTTAGCCATAGGTTTACTGCTAAGCAGGCACTCGCAGTCTCTATCCGTCTCCACGTACATCCTAGCTTATTAGTAGGTTCCGCTCATTCGAAAAGCCCGAATTACTTCGCATCCTTGAAGGAATGCCTTCAGATTTTATTGTCATTTTTAAAGTCTTGAACATGGGTAAACCGCTCGGTACTGCGCTAGCATAGGAGTGAAATTACAATCTGATATCAAATTCAGAAGCTGAAAAAGAATGGTTTTAATTTTTTTATCGGCATGTTTAACTAAGAGTAAATGTGTAGAGAAAGCACAGAAAAAAGAAGACCGTCATGCAAGAAGGGTATACTAAAAAGTTCGTAAGTCACCGTCGGGGTTTCTCTTGTTGTGCACATAACTATTCTGTTCTAAAGATATCATAGCGGACATTGTTGAGGTTATATTTTTATTTCCAGGCTCCTAATGATAACCAGCTGATGGGCGTAAATATAGTTAAGAAGGCCGTTCGTCAGCCAATTAGCACGATCGTCAAAAACGCTGGAATAGAACCTGCTCCTATTGTTGAGAAGGTTACCTATAGTATTCACACATATTTTCTCGGTTACTGCAATTTTTCATGTCTCTAGTTGTAGGTCCTATCGAATGGCAATGTCAGTTATGGTTATGATGCCCTCAATGATAAATTTGTGGATATGTTCGAAGCTGGTATTGTTGATCCAACCAAGGTATGTTTGCAAATGGAGAAATGTGCATGTCAGTACCTGTGATCCTATCAGTTATCGGTGATAGCTGAGGGCTGCTAACTTACCAAAAGTGCATGCGGTAAATGCTCCTTCCCAATAGAAGTCATCAACATAACATTAAAAAGTTTGAAGGCATGAAATGATATGTGGAAGACACAGGCATCTATAAAACGGCTCGATGATCATCAAGGTTTGCAATCCTTTTTAAAGATTAAGTGACCGGAGCGGCAATGTCCCTCTCAGCCTATCCTTTTCGTATGGCATGGGCTCATGGGGGGCAACAGACAAGAGGGCTTAGTGCTACTGCCTATCACATGTCAAGTGTACTATTGCCTAAATTTGTACCAAATGTGATCAATCCAACCGATGCAATTTCACAGGTTGTACGAACTGCTTTGCAAGATGCGGCTGGAGTTGCTTCGTTGCTTGCGACAACAGAATGTGTGGTCATTGAATTACCAAAAGAGGAACCAGCGCCAGGAATGGGAGGTGCCATGGGCGGTATGGGTGGAATGGGAGGAATGGGAGGAGGAATGTTCTAACCTGGCCTCTTAGGTCGTTTTTAAAATATTTGCGTTCAAATCTCGTTCCGTTTCATGAAGTGCAGTTGTTATATGTTGTAGGCACACTTGCCATTTATTAACTGTTATAGTGGTTTTAAATAACACTTGTTACTTGGTTCTCTTTGATACGTTGTACTTTTTAAATGCAGTTGTATCTCGATCATTGTTGATTTTCACATTTATCCTTACTTACAAATAAATATCTAGGTTTACTATGCCCAGCAATGTTCACTTTTCTAGTCTATCAATTTTGAAAGTTAACAGCGTGTAAAACCGTCGGAATGAGAGCAGCAAAGTTCAAAGAAATATGGGAGAGGTCGTCAAAGACTAATTTGGAAGCACAGACCAGATGGATTCTCATTGTTGGAGTGATCATTGTATCCTGTACTACCTAGTGCTCATCGTTTATTGTGCGTGTTAAGTTAGTGTCATTGTAGGGCAGCGCTACCGTGTGGCGACGAAGGTGCCTGTATCCAGTGTACGTCAATGAGGCTAGAGTGATGATATCTACAATTGAATGAAGCATATTTTTGGTTTTGAATAGTGATATAGACATCTGGTTCAATGTTAATGACGAGTGTTAATCATAACAATTCCGAAGAATTACGAACGACTAAGTAGCGACCGGACAAACAAGAAACCATCTTGAGTACTCACGGCAACAAGTTGCAAGTGGGCAGTGGGTTAATTCTGGTATCGCAAAACTGTGGGCGTGGAATGAGGTATCGATGGCTTGCCATGGATTTCTTCTGCTCTGCGTAGAAAAGCTCCAACCATGGTTTTCACTACTGAAAAGTAATCTGGATCACCTTTCTGAGGAAATTCCTAGAAAGATAACATAAACGGGGAAAGAAGTTCCCCATGCAGTTGACTGCAAAAGCTACGAACTATGTATGCATTTCATAATCGCACTTGTGCTGCTGTTAGTTCTTCGATAACTGCCAATAGTTTTTAAAAAATTAGAGCAATTTAGGAGAGAACCCGATGACTTTATAGGACGAACTCTGTCGGTTTAAGACTACAGCTCCTTAAAACGCCATTCCCATTTGGAATATTTGACACACTCTCGACAAAACGAAAGTTATATACGACTCATACTTGGTCGGAAGTAATTCAGCCTTTCAGTTTCAAGAAAAAGTTTTATTATAGAAGCAGATAAAATGTACAACTTTTTTCTGAACTCAGAAATACTAGTTCCCAGGATCGACTTCCTATTAACCTCGGCATTGGATTACAAATCTGCCGTTTTCTTTCTAAGCAATCGTGAGGTTGTTAAACAGCATACGTTTACTTCCATACCATAACACACATAAAACACAATCGTAGCTGATATTTCGGAAGAATCGCCTTCTTCAGAGCCGTTTTTACGTGCCTTCCACTATGCTGTCTCCTCGCGATTGCTGAGAGAGAAAACGACGAATGCAGAAATACCACTTTACCATCCAGTGGTGGTGGATCGTACTCACACCATTCCCAACACTAGTATTTTTGAAATTTACAACACTACATTAAAGAAAATTGGAAAACAGTACCTTGATCAAAGAAAAGATGAGCCATATGGGAATGAAATGCTGATTTGAACTCAAATACTAAGTCATAGTGCAGTGTGCAAGATTGCTCGTTCATCGACTGTCCTTCAGCAAATCGAAAAGTCGATTCTAGTGTGTTGAAAACAGAGTCGTCAACTACGATAGACTGAAACGAGAAACATTTCGATGAAGTAATTATCATAACCATAACAGATCGACCGATGCGCACTGATTTCAATCCACAGCTCGCGTCAAAAATTAGGCATCATCGTTCTATAAACTCGACGTATGAAGTTAGGTGTAAAACTTCAAATAACATTCATATTAAATTTGCAGATTTCAACAGTGCTATAATCTCGAACTCGTTTTGCTATACCGTTCTCAATCGGTCGAGTGATTGTAGGAATCGCTGCTGCCTTCGCGGGCTACCTTTCACGAGTCAACAAATCTGGCCCATAAAAAACGCCACTACACGACTCAGCACTTCAGGAAAAACTGTATACGCCCAGTATTTTAACATAACAATAGGAACAGAAAGTGATAAATTCACAGGCTACCGGGTGAAACGTACACACGGACCTGAAAACCCCCTACTGCCGGCTACATCACAAAACCGGTAGAGAAAATACTAAGGCTTTCAATTAATGTGAGAGCCAGCCACCTGCGTCTAAGTATCTGAATGATCACAAAGACTCCAATGAATGATTATGTCCAAAGTACAGTTTCCATGAAGCGGCGCTGTAATAAAAGAACACGAATTGCTTCCAGTAGTTTGGATACTGGCAAGACCTATCATAGACGATATAAGATGTATCGCTAAACAATCATTGGCATTTAGCCCCGAATATAACGGAGAAATCAAAGCATTCTGACCAGGTAGAATAAACCTCCACCACTTTTTTCTATGACCCGTTATCACATCTGCAGTACAGATCCCATCGATCATCGCACCCGATTCGCATTCCTCGCATTCTTCCTCCACAATGGTCTTTGAACATTCCACGTGTTGTTTTGGCAGCTGCTTGATAATCTCATCTTCTTTATGAATACCGTAGAATGCTGGTCGAGTTTACTCTCCTAGCAATTTTGGAAATGGCCAAGCTAAGGCGTTCCCACGTGGACTAAAGGAAAACGTTGGGTACTAGGTCCAACCAGCACCTTGATTCCCAATGAACTACATCAGTAACCTCTCTGCTGTACATATTTGAAGTAAAATCCCAGCAAACCTTTTAAAAAATTTTCTTCTACATCACCCAGCATTCCATATTGTATGGATTCCAGAACTTCATTAATTCGATTCATTTCTGCTCGCAATCATCATCAAAGGTTTTCGGACTTGCTACAGGTTCGTCTTATGTGGCGGACACGTAGAACGACACATCACTTTTCGGTGCACGCAGTATGTGTAGAGCTCACTGTGCATAGACCAAACCCCAAGACAAAGAAATAGTACTCTTCGCGCAGTTAGGTGCTCTATGTTACTCCATCCGTTTAATAAGTAAAAAATTAATGCACAACCTTTGCAACAGTATTTTGCGGAACTGTTATCTTAACAGATTCATTGTATGCAGGGGTCGCTGTGTTAATGCAAGTACTTGCTTGGATACTTGGATGGCCCGTCCTCACTATTTGTGCGGACCTCAGCAAAACTTCCCCTTTTCAGAGCTTTGCTGGCTCAGCCACTGTGGTTCCTTGCAGTCCCGAGGTCAGCCTAGGCAAGGTCCGTCTCACGTCGTCACCACCGCATGCAGTCGCGTCTTCGTGTATCAAAGGGAGATTTACCACCACACGATTAGTTTGATACCAGGACGGTGGTGGATACTGGTATTGGTTTACTCTTAACTGCACTTCCTGATAGAAACACCGGACTTCTTCTCAGCGTGGGAAGCCCTGCCGAGGGACGGAATCCCCGCTGTATACCGCCGCCCAACACCAAGGAACACTTCCTAGACACGATGAGGCGGTAAACCGTTGGAAAAATCCGAGAAATGCGAAAAACTCTAATACAAAAATGTTTATGAAAATTTCGCTTGCAAATTCGATGGGTGCAGAACCATATTCTTGGGCGATTCCACTCTATACATTGAAATGGACGTGTATGACCTCGCGAATATGCTAAGAATATTCTTATTTCTACAAAGCCATATATACTGGTACTTACAAACTAGCAATAAGCAAGTGGAAAAAACTGATCTCCGCAGATGAGCAAGCTAGACAGATACTAAGCTTACTCGCATGGATGGTTTTGTTTACGTCTATTTCGTCCTCTTGCAGCCTGCAGAAGATCATATTCGTGGCCGGCTTCGACCACGGACTAAGCATTTGCCTTCTGTTCACTCCTTAATCATATATTTAATGCTGTTCAAGCGTGGTTTTCCTCAGAATATTGAAACAGCAGTGTTAGCGCATCCTTTAATGTTCACCACGCGTTGCTACCTCGTAACTACATTCCCTCCAGACAGCAACAATTCCTCTGAAGACATTAATTTTTACGACCAATCGACCGATCAAGGAAGAAAACTTCGCTCTGTTACATGAGCACGTCAGAAGAATGTTGTGCCTAGCTTCCAATCAACTTAAAACTAAATTTTATTCAAATTTAAAGTGATTGAAATACTGATAAGACAATCCGTTTCGAACGTACATGGACAACTGACGGCCGTACGAGGGCTACTCGGCTTTGATACCTCTCCAAAAAAGGTGGAAAACCAATTTCCAGCTCTACCATTCGCAAATTCTCATGCTCGTTGAGGACGTTGGAATGCCGACACCAAGGTATAAAGTTGTGGTACTGGGAAACATCGGCAACGATGTCAAACATTTGTTCACGGGAATAACTAAAGTAAAATTTGACCACACACATACAGTGACCTATTATGATTTCGAAGAAATGCAACAATTCCAAAACATAACCAATTCATTCAGAACTCTCCATGACTATGGAACTTACCAACAACTGGCCACCCACTTAAAGGTTCAGTGGAAATCTCAATATACTTGGATGACCCATCCCCACTTATTGTGCGTACCCTAACAAAAATTTCCATTTTTCGGACCTTTGCTGCTTAGCCATTGTGGTTCCCTGGAGCCCGAGGTCAGGCTACCCAAAGCCCGGCCCAGGTCGTCAATACACCAGGCAGTCGCCGTCCTTGACTTGAAGATTAAAGGGACATTTACCATCATGCGACTAGTTCCATACTACGATGGTGGTGGATCTTGGTACTGGTTTAGTTTTAGCTGGGTTTCCTGGTGGAAACGCTGGACTCCCTCTCTGCTTGGGAGACCCTGCCGGGAGGATGAATCCCGTCCCTCCTCATCGCAGTCAACATCCAGGAACACCTCCCAACCACGATGAAGCAGCCGGTAAACCGTTGGGAAGAAGCTAAACATACTGGGTATAAAAACGGTGTAACCAAAGACTACCTAAATCGGGTGTGGTATTAAAAACTAAATATAAAAGAGTACGCTAACGAAGGAATTTCACACTGCAATCAATGGCTCCAGACCCAATGAGACGCTTTTCGGAATATGCCATTTCCATGCCACTAAATGGACGATTTGTCACAAAAGAACTTCTCGACAACCGATTGAGTAATCGCGAAATCATTCCAGTGTAGTACTACTTTATCTTTGATGAAATAGAAACAGTAACTGCAAATAGATTTTATTTGGTCCAAAACAGAAAGGTTAATATCAGTAAGCATTGTGGTTTTGCACAAAGACGTAATACATCGATACACGAATTGTAGATTTATTAAATGACCTAACAGTAAATTTTGGTGGTACATTAAAAAAACCAGTTCCTACTGATACTTGGCCACATTTTCGCCAACGACTTTTGTCACAATTCAGGAGACCTTTTCGAGATGACACGAGGGTTCCTGATATGTACAATCAGCGTGCAGACCCCTGGAACGAAGAAATACACAGGAATGAGTAAAATGCAGCACGAGTTGTTAAGTGTTAAGTACGCAGTGGTATACCATCCATAGGTGCTCATCTAATTTCCAATGAATATATACATATATATGCACATCTATATATATATATATATATATATACGTATGTATGTATGCATGTATATACACATATGTACTACATAAAGGATAAAGCTTTCCGCCTCGATCAATCTGTGAGGGACACGCACTGCATTCGATTTCATGAAGCATCGCTAAACTGACTAAATGCACATCTGACCTATAAAATGACTTGCGATGGTCAACCGATGTATCTATCGGTGCTGGTACCATTTTGCCGACTCCAGAAAGATGGAAATCTTGGCAGAGTGGAGCCAGGTGTATATCCAATGTGTTTTGCAGTATACCTGCAACCACTACGTTACACACCCTACGATGCTTAATGTAGTCCAGTGCATGGCGTATCCCTAAGCGATTGGTCAACACCGAACGCTGAAAACTGTTACAGAAAAACAAGACTTCTAATAAATTCACATACTCATCAATAGCACAATGAGCGATCCGTGCAGCAGCTGGAGCCAGCGGAGAAATTACTGGTAACCGCTGGTATTCACACTGCACATTGTGTGATAAATACAGTTCTTTATGCTTACTCATAAGATGGCCTATTTTACCCTAAAATATTGATGCACAGGAAAAACTTCCGCAAGCCAGTTACTGTTTTTACCCAACTTCATGTTATTATCGTTAAGTAATAAATAAAATAGTTAAATCACCTTCACAGTATACATGCGAATACCACATACAAAGCAGAGAGTGCCGTAAGCAGATTTCAATGATAGATCATGATGAGAGTAGGACATATGCCATGCCAGCACCTGGCAAAACACGAAGGTAGTTAGATTAAAGCGGAATCTACTGCGATCACCTGGACCTGGAACACAGTACAAAGAAACTGCTTAAAACCAACCTCAACTGTAGTGAAAACTCTTCCACACATCGGAATGCGACATGTTACTCGGTCTATATCACATTTACCAACAAGGTGAAGTAACCTTTGTACTATTAGAGTAGCAGATGTAGAATCATTCTTCTGATCCACCAGCTGTGAGCTTTCCTTCTACAACAATCATAACTATAAACAGATAATGCTCAGAAGTTTCAATCTATGCAGAATATCAAATTTATCACATTGGAAAGCCATCAAATCCGGTGTGACGAACACCTAGGAGGACCTGTAAATATTTGCGGCTCGCGGTACGAGTCATATAAAACTCGTGTTGATTGCACCACAGGTAAGTTACATATGCGCTCTTCATTAGCAGCAGACTTCATTCTTCACTGCGGAACCCATTAGGGAATATAATAATAATCCCCTCATATATGGTACCCCTAACATTCACTGCATCCGTCTCAGCAACAACGATCACTGTGATACCGCTGCCGCAACATCCAAAGGGGCCAACAAAGCCGTCGGAAAAATAAGTTTCTTCTCGGGAAACTATTGATTGTAAGAAATAACTTTTCTTAACGGACGATCGACACATTAATTTGTTGGGTAGACTAGTTTACTCAAAAATTTTTCCCCTGACCCGTAATGAGCTCATATCAACTTATGCCGCTCTATCTTGCCCTCTCCCACAAAACATAGTTCCACCTCTTTTGCTTCATTTTTCGCTTTATAATTCGGCTTTTTTCACTTATTTTATTACCAACTTCGCTTTCGCTCTTCTTCACGCACGCGCTTACTTCCTCCATCTACTACCTTCTCCTCTTCGAACATTTTGAACTTTTGTTTGTGATGAAAAAGAAAAACTGGTCCATCACCCAACTACGATGCTATCAGCATGTGGTGATCTGTTTCATAGCATATACTGGATATACATCGGCATTCTTTATAGGCCTATTTCATACGATGATCATGACTCATTTTACTGATTGGAAATGAAACACCGATTAATTACTGGTCAAAAATTATTCCTATAGATATTGAAAGAGCGTCCCAAATGAAACCCATCGATATGACACATATAAGAACTGTAGAGTATTCTGTTAGCAAGTTACTGAGAGAAGAGGACGATTGGTATGGGAACAGACATGGGAGATATAGTAGTGTTGAAATTGTAAGATAAGAGTGACATTACTACGTCCATAACACATTCAGCGAATCCTTCCGCTTCTCATCAAGAATATCGTGGAAGTTGTGGAATGACAACAAGCAGAAACTCTTCATGAACATAGGCAACCATATCATGCCCTACATTTCGTAAATCAGAGAAAGAGCAAGTTATTAATTTCTCATCGTTCATGGCTGTGGTGTACACGGCTTCCCCTCTTTAGAGTTTGTAGAGTTGCAGCTCTTAATGCTTCAAACTGTACTTTAAATGTGTAAACTGTGAATAAAACGAAACCAAAATGATGCTGAAATATTTGCAAAACTCCGTACGGCAGATGTCTAGTAAAGGGTGATAGCAAGTTCGATCCCCACCGCAAGTTCTAGATTTTGTCGACCAACGAATTTATCATTACCATATCCATTGATCTGTGCTAGATAAGATATTGACTGGACACAAAAATTACCAAAAAAAAACCTTTGCAACTAAACAAGTAACCTGAAAGAAAATGAGTTGATATCACACAAACCCACTTCCCACGTACCCCACATATGAGTGAACATTTTCGTTCGACTCGGAAGCCACCAACCTCACACCTTGACGTAATCTTGTTTGTTTACAAACTTCTATTAAAAACCACAAACCGTTACCTACTAATTCAGTGGGCTTCGTCCCACATGTTTTGCTCAAAAACTCCCTGTTCTTCTTGATGAGCAAACTCGAAGTTGTTACTACAGCATTTATTAATAGACAATAACCGACGTTTCAGCGCTTTCACCTTCTTCAGACCTTGGAAAGATCAAAATGACGTGCAAACCACTCAAACAAACACTTATGCCACCTAGGTAACTGAAGACTTACAAACAACATGGAAATTCATGTGTTAGCTTTTGCCTGTTGAGGTTATGAAAGTGTCTGGTTGAAAAGATCGCATGTTAATTTGATCTTCGCAACATCTTAAGGTGAAACCCCCAAAACGTCACCCACTGTGTATTAGTAAGTGCTGCAAAGACAACCTCAAGTTTGCTTGTCAAGAAGAACAACTGATTAATGATTAATGATGAGACCAAAAAAGAACTGGTCTTGGAATGTGTTCCCACGGCTCTTTGCGACATCACAAACTGATAGCTTCCCTAACATGTACTGTACTCATCGGAGAAAAGATATTTTCTATAAATTACAATTTATAAGAAACCTCATTGAAAAGAGAATTTCCCCTTGAGTAGTAAGCGATTCCTTACCTACTGAACACATAGACATAGAAGATTACTAATGATCATAATGGCATCGTCTTTGCACTGGGACTTTTCGGACTGCACCCAATAACTTTTGGACTCTATGCTCGCTGATGATGATATCGACTTCTTTATAATGGGATGTCGAAAAAAAAACAAGTTGTTTCCACCAATTTATTTCCACCAACACAACGATTTACGTGTTTTCACCGATACCAAGTCGGGTAATCACTATTACCAACGATCAGCGTCCCATATAGAGCATCGCCGTGTGAGTCTTGGTCATTCGAGAGAGATGCTCTACTGAAGAAGATCAGACTCGATACGAAGATGATGTCGCATCGAGAATACGAACAACTATGGACCATAGACTCGGATCACTGACTCAGATGAAAGGGAAAACGTCAAGACGTTAGCCGAATGAAGCTGATTACTTTGTCAATGAAAGAATACACCTTGATTTTTCATACCGAGGTTAAACGGAAGTCGGCTTTGAAATACTGTACCCAACTAGTTCAAGGACTACAGCAAGTGCAAGAATGAAATTGACGTAATAGCGAATATCAATGAGTAAGTGCCTAGGAAGAGAGCTATCCAAATGAAGCGTTATCATGCACTGAATCAGAAAGAATGTTTTAAGGGATAGAGGAATCATGTCAAGATTTTCATTCAACTGCTAAGCAAGAGTAACTATGAAACATAAATATGAACTTTGTAAATTAAGCAACGACCTCACATTTCACCTCACAAGGTGGCAGGCTGATTGGGAAAATAATAGTAAGTGCAAACAGCACGATTTCTCTCGAATTTCCAAGGTAAGGAAACACTACCAATCTTTGCGTTCTCTCCCAATATCTCCTCGCCACTTCTGAAATATAAGCACGAGATGCTTCCTGATCTTGACAGGCTGTCGCGTGGTATTTCACCACCTTCAAATAGACGTCGCATTAGAAAAAACCGAACTGGTAGACTTAAAGCCCACTAGTACTAAACATAGATTAACAAATAGTTACATTGTGTTCGAGATATGCACCCCCACCGTTCGATATAGAATCATTAGTCCAACTAATTCTCGGTTTTGCATACCCTAAACAAGAAATTCTCAAACCATCTTTGAAGAAAAACAAGACCACCACGAAGAACTCCTACCTTGCACCGCTCTTCGCATATTGGCATCCTTTGAAGTGCACGGCGAAAAAATGGCACTGTGTCCCATAGATACTTTGCAAAGATTCACTAAATATCTCATTATGGGAGATCGAAGAATTGAAACTAAGAATTAGTACTTGGATGGCCCGTGTTCACTGGTTGGGCGAGCCCTAGCATGTTTTCCACCATTCGGAGTCCTCCTGGTATAGCCATTGCGTTTCCCTGGAGTTCCGAGGTCAGCCTGGCCTAAGTCTGCCCTAGGTCGTCACCACCACAGGCGGTTGGCCCTTCTTGTGGATCATAGGAAGATTTGCCACCATGCGACTAGTTTGACACCATGACGGTGCTGGATCCTGGTACTAGTTTGCTGTTAGCTGGGCTTCCTGATGGAAACGCCGGACTCGTTCTTAGCTTGGAACACCCTACCGGGGGAATGAATCTCTCCGCTGTACATCGCACCCCGGCACCCAGGAAAACCTCTCAGCCACGATGAAGCGGTGAACCGTTGGGAGGATCTAAGCATTAGTATGCAAGAAAAACCATATAAAAGACATATCCAGCAGGTACAAAAGCTGAATTCAGTCAAACAATTACTGAAAACAAAGCATATTTTATACTGGAAAGTACAAAGTAATACTAAGTAGATAGCTGCGGCTGAGAGAAAAAAAGGGCAGAAAGAGAACAAAGTCGCAAACATGCTTGTTCTCCATCAATTGTCGACCATTTCGTGATAACCAGGCCATTTCAGGAGTTGAAAATGTGTAGAAGGAACTATTATTCCTCCAACGGGAATATATAATTTCCCTACAATGTCAACTCCATCTTAAACTTTCTCAAAACATAACAAGATTCCAGTTAGTGCAACGTCAGGAGCAAGCGTGAAAATTGGAACACCGACGATTTATTGAGGTATAGCATTGTGTCCTGATGGACTAGAATCGACTAAAAAATATGTGAAGAGACAAACTGTAGGACTCAGAAACCAGAACTTCACCTAGGAAGTGTTAACAGCCTCGTATCACGTTGGAAAACGTTTACAAACTTTAACTGTTTCTATCTGAATTAATAAACCTCACTACGATCTGAGATCAGCAGGGAGAAAAGGTAAAACGATTTTCGGCCCTGTCATATTTCGGTATCGCCAAAATGTTTCCTGGTAATGACGGCAAGCTCTTGATGTAGATCTAATACAGCAGCTTCTGCCAATGCTATATTCTGCTGAGAGACGAATGTTGACCCTGGAAATATCTCAATCGTATGTTAGAGTTCCAGAGAGTAGCTGAAACGCTGTCATGTGAACATAAAACAGTGAAATGACCAAATAAGTAACCAAATAGACCACTAACCCTGATGAGCAGAACCCACGCATACATGAGAAAGGTACATCATCTGTTCGGATAGTTCTTTTTCGACTTGGGTTAACGTCTTCTTAAAAGCCTGTGATGATTCCTCCATCTTAGTCTGCAAATTCTCCGCATGATTACTAAAATAAAAAAATAAGAACTAGAAAAAAGAACCTTGCTGATTTGCTTTTCTTTGGATAACTCTGAAATGCAAGTCTGCGCATGCCTAAGTAGGTTTCCTATCGATTTCTCAACTTCTGAAATCGTATTCAGACGCTGGACCAAATCAGAGCCGACGCCCCTTATGGTGGACATGGCTTGAACAGAATCATATAAAAGCATCAGTGCACTGGATAACAGAGATTTAAAATCAGTACAAGTAAAACAATACATCTGAAGTAGAAATGTCTCATTTATAAGTCATAGATTTATTTCTCAAAGAAAAAGCTGTACATATTTTCAAGATAAGGAATAATGGCCAATACCTGAAAGGTGTTCATTCGCAAATATAAGACAATGAATATGAAAATGAACTAACCACACAAGAACATACATCACAGAAATCCCAAGTGCTATTTTGAGTGCAGGTTAGTGAGTGGGCACTAAACATTTGCTTCAAGGACTAGAACTAAAATAACCAAACATATCCTAACGGTTGGCCACTGCAATCGATTGGAATTAACATGGTGAAGGGTCGTTCAAATGCACAGGATCCTCAAGTATTCCAAAAAAGTTGATTTAGATTGATAAAAATATGGATGAGTAACACAGCAAAGGCGGATAACGTCGAAATTAATGAAAGATTATAGTGATAAGTACTGTTGAAGAGAAACAGTTAGCTAGCATTCTGAAAAGGCACAGTACCACTAATACTGAAAAAAGCAACTAATCATGAAATGCGAGCATGTGTCAAGATTGGGGGAGGAGGAAGACTCGATAATGGTCTAAAAGTGAACCTGAAAATAACGAAATTCATCCATAATGCTACATCTTTTTATTTTCTGCCTACTATAATTTCGCGGCAGGATACTAAGCGAAATACAACCACAACGTTTCTGAGATATTTGCAAAACTCTGGACCGCAGGTGTCTACGGTGGAGAACGAACGCGCTATTGTCCTTTCCGGGGAGTAACGCGTTCATCACCACACCATGCGGGTCCTTTGTTTCGCCTGTCTCTCAGCTATTTCTATCGATCTTTGCCACAGCAATCACCCGTCATGAAATTCATTCATTTTCAACGTGGAAAAGGATGAAAGGACTTGTGAATAAAAGCCGAACTAACCTATCAAGTGGATGGGCATCTTTACTCATAAACTTAGGGACCAGTGGTACAGAAGGTGTAGAGGCAGCGGCTTTCGATGCAGTTCTCGGTGGCGGTGGAGGAGCACATTCTTCTCCACGATTAACAGGGAAATTATTTCCAAACCTTGAAAGAAAAGTCAATTCACGGGGGAAAGAATTGGCGGATCCGAATACATCTAAATGTAGGAAATAGGGTTAGAAAGATGAAGGTGGTCAAAAAATAACAGTAACCTAACCTGCTAATGAGAGTAGAAGCAATAGGTCCAACAATCGGTGGAGGAGGTGGCTGCTCCGGTGTTTTCCTTCCACTGATGCGCACTGACGGCGGCGGTGGAGGAGGAGCAGACGGTCTAGTCGAGGGAGGGTGAAACGCTGGACGAACGGTAGGTCCTCGGCCCGGTGTTGAAGTGCTTGATGAGAAATCCTGTTGAATTTAAAAATTACAAGGCGTGCTGACCAAAAATATAAGATTAATAACGGTTGAATAAAATTTCATGAAAAAGCACACTAATAGAGGTTAAAACGGCTAATACATTTCTAGAAGAGGTGGGTAGCGCAGTAGCAGTGATGCCGATCATCATGAGCATAGTGTTGATTCGATCTAGTCCTGGAATCACCAACTCTACCGTCCCTCCTGAGTAGGGAAATTGGTACCACACTTGTCTGCGAAAAGTTCACTTTTTGCAATCCAACTGAGAACACCTTAATACAACTATCTCAGTGTTCCAGGGAGAATCGACTCCACCAGCATTCAACAACACATAAAGAAGACAATAATCCTCAAGCAGCCGAACCTACACGCGAAAACTTGGATTATGGAAAGTAGGGAACGAGCCGAATACAAGAAGTGCTGGGATCCGCAAAGCAAATGTGAAAGACGGATCATAAAAATAGATAAAATGAATGCATTACTCTCATATTTCACCTCAGAGCTGCCACTTCTCCTTAAATTTGTATTTGAAAGGTTCGAGTCTGATTTCATCGGTCGTAACGTCTTGAACTGATCACGTACATTCGAGTTAGAGTTTATCTAGAACGAAATAACTTCTAAAAAATTTTCCTTTTTTATGAGGCAATATTAGCATGCGCTAAACTTACAACAGGTTTCACAGATTGTACAGGCGGAGGTGGTGGTGACGGTTTACCAGACATATTCACATCGATGGACCTGTGTGGGGAAGAATGTGGTGGTGCCGGAGCAACATTGGTGGGTTGAGATCGCACTGGAAAAAGGTATGGTATCAGACCCCATCTCTCGCAATAGTGTGCTCGCTAGCAAATCAACGACTTCCTTTTTCTATAAACATAATTCCAAGTAACTGCCACGACCGACTTTCTATTAACCTCGGCATTGATCAAGTGATTTTGTTCGTATTTTTTTTTTTGAGCAAACGCGAGGTGTTATTGTTCTTTGTTCACGATTAAGCTGACGTTTCGGCGAATTTCGCCTTCTTCAGAGCCGCTTTCTATGAGGTCTCCACTAAGTATGTCACGTAGAGACCAACCGCACAGAAATCACGTGGAAGTATAATGTGA